GTTTCAAGACATCTCATATTATTTGGCATGGTAAAAAAATCCTTCTTGGTAAAAAATTGATTCTTGGAGTCCTCGTCAACTTTGAACTAACAAATTAGGAGAAGTGTGTTCACTTACTTATTTCCACTTGTGTTGACTGAATTAACACTAACCAACATCCTAAAGATCTGTCAGTAGAAACAGAAAAATTCCACTCACAAACGAAAGTCTCCTAGTATATGAAATGAAAATTCTTTTTTGTTGAAATTCCAAAATATGAGCTTTGTTACATATTAAAAACAAATTACAACCAATGATACTGTTGAATGACATGTACAAAAAATTATGAAAATGCAGTTTTAAAAAATGACTGTGCTGGCACTCAACTTGTATAAACTATCCGCATTATTTGCTTTCACAAGTTTATTTCATACTATGCTCATCACTGCTCCTGGAGCACAAATATATTAAGAAACCATCCTACAAACACTCTCACTGCTGAGAGATTGCGAGCAGGCCTCTGGGCCAATTTTCTTGAAATGGAAAAGCATAGAGATCGCTTTGGCAGTAGGATCAAGAAGGAACAAGAGCTCAGTGTGGAACATTCTGAAACAGGATCATATCTTCTCAGACAAATGGAATATTAAGGTTATTGCGGATAGCGAGGTCAATGGTGTATTAAGGACCTCGGAGCATTCTTTTGAGGACTTTTGATCAGAATGTTTGAATGGGTTTGATATTGGTTGGCTCTGTCATAGTTCTGCTTATGTCTATGGTCAAAGTAATTTTAGTCAAGTTTTGATCCAAGCAGTCTTCTTTTCAGTTCCAGTTTCCACATCAGTCTGCTGTTCTAAGTATTTCACTTCTGTGGATTAAAGTATTTCTCATTGGTCAAAATTTGGGTGCATTTATCGTTCAGTTTCAACTTCAAATTTTTTTCACCAATCTTGAGCTCGAGATGTTTCTGTCGAATGTCCCCTTGTGGGGCTCCAGCTTGAATCTTGTCTCAGAGAACTCAGGATTTCTGGTGTAGGTAATCAAAATATGACAGCTTTTACTTAACTTCCATAGGGAGGTTCAGCATAATTATTGTAACATATGTTTAATACCTGACCTAATCCATCCCTAACCCTAACTCTAACCCATCATAATGCTAATCTGTATCTTAATCCCTTCTTAACCCTACCTATGGATTCAAGTTCTTACATAAGGTCGCGGTATTGTCTGCATAGGTAGGATGGGACCAAGAATGCCCCTTTGTGGGACACCAGCTTGGATCTTGTCCCTGAATACTCAGTAAGAATAGTAAGAATAATAAAAATATAGCAGCTTTTACTTAGCTTCCATAGGGAGGTACAGCATAATTATTTATTATATTTAAGAACACACACTGTTAGTGAGCTTGGTATTTCTTTTTTAATTTAACTTTAAAGAATGGAAGTGAACCTAGAATCTTCTGATGTCCATGTTAAACTTTTAATGGACTCTAAAGTTAACAGTCAACAGGAAATCGATCAATGCTATTACATATACTGAATTCATCCTGTTTCAGCTGCATGTAATTTTTTTTTTTTTTTTTTTTTTTTTTTTGGGGGGGGGCTTTTTTCCACACGTAAATTTACTTTCCCTAACACAAAATGTAAGATGGGATTGCAAATTGAACATGTTACAGTATAGGATTAAATAAAAATAAATCTAGTAACTTATTTTCATTTCACTATCAAGTCATTAAAATAGTGTGATTTAAAAAAAATTAGATTTTTTTCAAACTAAAGTACTGTCTATGTTTGACTTTAGGTTTCAGGATTGGCCTACTGTACAATCGAATACATATTATATGAAAAATGCTTCCTTTTCAGATTGTAAGTATCATTTATTTTATTTGAAACAATTATTTATTAGCGATGTATCAAAGTGGTTTAAAATCTCGTTGAATAAAAAGGCAACCTAACCTGTCCCTAACTATAACCTTTCCCAAACCCTACCTGACCTAACCTAACTTTAACCTGTCTGTAATCCTACCTAACCTAATCTGCCCCTAACCTTACTTTATATAACCTAACCTGTCCCTAACTCCAACCTTTCCCAAACCCTACCTGACCTAACCTAACTTTAACCTGTCTGTAATCCTACCTAACCTAATCTGCCCCTAACCTTACTTTATATAACCTAACCTGTCCCTAACTCCAACCTGTCCCAAACCCTACCTACCCTTGCCTAACTCTTTGATGATAGATTCGTACAAATAAACAGTGGACTGCTTCAACCAGTTGATTGATGCCATTGGCATGACAATTTATTTATTTATGACATCAATAAATAAAATGGTTTGATCATATAAATAAACTGATGGAAAACATTTGCTATTTATTTGTTTGAATCTATCACCGAAGAAAAAACATCCTACTTAATCTAATACAGTCAGTCCCTTGCCCCCAACCCTAATCCTACCTAACCGAACCCATGTGCACTCTCTGGTAATGTGAAATTGATGACTTTTACATGATCACTAAAATAAAGTCAACAATTTTTTATTTGTTTAACGATTTCCAGCTCTTACTACTTCTTCAGTTATCTTAAAAATCAAAAGTAATATTAATCTATCTCAATTATTTATTTTCATTGTTCAGCTGCATAAATAAAATAGTACATGTTTGTCAGGACACAAAAACAAGTTAGAAGTTCACCAACTATGTTTTATTTTTGTTTAAAGCAAGGTTAATTAATAATCATTTTCCTTTCATTCTAGCACACGATGAAGGTAAGACTTTACTTAAAATTATAAGTAAAATGTAGCAATTTGATTTGCATGATCTCTTGTAATAAAACATTGCATGGTATTTTCTTCTAGCCTGTAAAATTTGTTTATTTTTATTGTTTAGATTAACCGTAAAAACTATTGTATATAATATTTTGCACCGAACTAGCTTAATTTGTAAAGCAATTGTTACAATCAACACAAATTCTTTTTCTAATCTTTAAAATTAAACTACTGTAGCTTGTCTGTAATAATTTTATTAATATTATCTATACTTTGGATCTTTTTAAATCAATAGTTTAGGAATCCCAAACTTAAAAGAAAACAACACACCACCAATAGAACACAATACAATAAACATAATTTTTGCCTAACAGTTAAAATTTTAGACACTAAACAAGGGATCTAAGTTTTTCTATTTTAATTTTTATGAATTGTAACAATTTATTATTACATTTTTAAAAAAGGCACTAAAACAGAAACTAATGTACAAGACATACCTAGGTTTTTCCTTGTACATATTGGCAAATTTTTACAATCTTCTCTATCTGTCTGACTTCCTCATATAATCTATTATACTATGTTTGTTGAAACTATTAGGACAGAAGGTGGAAGAAACTATCAAGGACTAACATTGGTAAATAAAGAAAAAGAGTAGGGTGAAAGATTTAAAATTCAATTATATTGAATATTCATTCTTGTTCTACTTAATTCATAAATAATGAATATATGTATATCAAAACAATGCAAATTCATATCCATATTCATATTATGAAACAATTAATATAGAAATGTAACCAGTCAATGTTATTATTTTCTCTTGTTCGAACTCACTTTAACAGAAAAAGTAGTCTAACTTTATACATTTAAGGGGTACTTGTGGTTGCTGAGTAGTTCGGGCACCTGACTCCTATTTGCCCAGGAGCAGTTCTGGGTTCGAATCCGGGCTCAGCCCTTGATATTTTATTGAGAAATAATATGAAAAAAAAATGTGTAAAGTGTGTTGAAGTTAACTCTCCGGTATGACAGGAATCACTTTATAGTTGTACATGAAATATTATTTTACATAAACATACATATAAAACATGTATCCTCTTAAAATCATTTTTTTCATATGAACTTGTTGAACAAAACTTGTTCGTAACAAAATTATATTTATGAGATTTCTGTTGTTGTTTCTCATTATCCGGGTCATTGATTTGGACAGTCAGTGGTATGTGAGAGGTCAGGGAGTCACTTGTCTAACTTACACCTACACATAATGATTAGGATAAAAGTAAGACAAAACAAACAATGATTAATAAAGTCAAAAGACGCAGTTTGAAATAGTCGAAGATTAAGACTTTCAAAGGCCAGTTAAAAAAACAAAAATTGTAGGGTGACGTCGAGGAGGACTTCAGATTTTTAAAACTCACACTTTGTACTTGAATATTTTCTCTGCTTCACAAAAAAATCATTGAATAAAGACTATGGAACCTAACCAGACCCTACCCTAACCCCCCCCTGATCTGTCCCTAACAATAACCTAACCTAAACAGTTCCTAACCCTAACCTAAAGTTCATAACTAATCTGTATCTACCTAACCCTAGCTGTAACTACTTTAACTACTGTAACTTCACTACTTATTCTGCAGCCCTAGATGCATTGCTCCTTGGTCACTTGTTATCGTGCTGCTTTTAACTTCTATTTAAATGGAAGATCTTAAATGGCTCCTGAAATTCTATCACATCTCAGCTTAAGGGTGCCTAGCCAGGGTTTGTGAGTGACTGAACTGTTTTACATTTCCTCTTGCAAACCCAATGTCTCATCCAAGCAATGTGTTTATAGAATTGCCTTTGAATGTGTCATTCATTGATTCATTTGTGGAGTCTGGTAGCCTTTAAAAAAAAGCTTTTTGAGTTTTTAAGGAATAATATGATTGAACTGCAATAAATTTTAATCTTTGATTGTCCTTATTTCTCTATTTACGTGTATGTTTTCGACTGTTGTCATGTTTGTTTAATTTTTATACCCTGTTTTTTACCTAATATTATTATTACTAGGTGTAGTTGAGATGGGGAGTTGGTGTCCGAGTGGATCAGTCACGATAGCTCAAGTGGTTAGAGCAGCAGCATATTGAGCCGAAGATCATGGGTTTGAATCCCGCTCGTGACACTAACTTTTTCATCTCAACCAAGACCTTAAACAAAAAAAGAATAATTAATTGAAATAAAAAATTTGGTCAATTAGATCACTGAACTTAAATGTGATATTACTACTGTTAGTATATTTTGACTTTCTATTTTGGGACTGCTTCCCTGTTTGAACTATGTAATAAATGAATAACCTAACATAACACATCATAACTCTAGCCTGACTAACTCCCTACCTGACCTGTTCTTAACCTAACCTAACATGTTCCTATCTCTTACTATAACTTAACTCTAACCCTCCTAACTTAACCAGTCCATAACCCTCCTAACATCACATAACTCATCCCTAATTCTAATCTGTACCTAACTTAATACATTCCTAACCCTAATATAACCCATACATAACGCTAACCTGACCCTAACCCTACCTGACCTGGCTCTAATTATAACCTAATCTAGGCCTAATTATAACAACCTAAATCATCCCTAACCCTAACTTAACCTTACTTAACAGTAACTCTAACCATATCTATCTCTAACAATAACTTTAACATAACCTAACCCATCCTTAACTATAACTCTTCCTTAACTAACTCCAACCTGTCCCTAATCCCACCAAACCCAACCCATATTTACGCCTAATCAATGAGTTGAAAATGGTCACAAAAAACAGACACAGTTAGTATCCGGCCCAAAAACATTAACCCAGAAATGAAATAGGAGAGGCTTCATACTTAGTGAGAACTGCATAATTTGCGCGTTAGTGGGTTAAATGTGGGAATTGTGAATACTTTCGTTTAAAAATTATGCATGAATCTTTCTGAGTGCAAATAAGTTTTTTTATACTAGAAAACCTTCCTACGTATGCTCTGGCCCTGACAAAATTTTGCGCAGTTTTCAAAAACGGCTATGGAGAAATTGCAAGTAAGTTTTTTTTTGCAGTTGGTGTTGGTTTGTGTATTTAAATTATATCATATTTTCTTCTCTCGTTCTGGGTGGTTTAGACACACCGAATACCTCCGACAACAAAATTGCAATTTTTTTGTTTTGTTTCGTGCAACAAATCTCTGTTCATTTTTTGCCATCTACATATGCCTACGAAAATGGTCAGTTATTATCTCATCTGTTCATTTTTCACATATTTTTTTTTTAGCCAAACATTTCCTCCCTGATCACAGTCTGACCATTCTTGTCAGACAAGTTGAGATATTTTTTCACCTAAGCAGACCTGGACAATTGGGGATGATCAAGCTTTTTCATCACAATGCACATTTAAACTATCGGTGATTTCTTTGTTGTCACATATTTTGTCTCATTTTCTTCACACTTAAAAACAATTTTAACAAGTATGCCCAAAATCTGAAAATTTATTATTCTGACATGATTCTCATATAAAATGCTTGTTTTATTTATTTTTTAGTAGTGATGTGTTACTTTAAAGTATTTTTTAAGTGCTTATAACATAACATGTTATGTTTATAGTTTTAAAAGCTCTTTTATCTATTATTTTATTAGTTATTTTGTTAACATTTCAAATTCAATCCGGCTGGAAATTTTTTTTTCTCTTCCAATTCTGATAAAAGTAAAGTATTATTTTTAAGGAGATATGTAAAAAGCAGGTAATTTTTAACAAAAAACCTAGGATGTAATTTTTTTGATATTATATTCTGCTAGTTTCACAACAATAAAGAAACTTTAGAAGTTTAATCTCAAAAGTGTTAAAGCAAATTCTCTTAGACGAATTAAGTTCTCTTTGTTGTGAAATAATTACTGACATTTTATTTTTAATTGTTTTATTTTTTTTCACAGACGATTCCTGTTTTGGTTGGGATCGGAATAGTCGTTTCGACCGCACTAGTCATAACATATGTTTTCAAAAAAAGGAAAACCCATAAAAGGACTCTTGTTGATCCGACAGCAAAAGTATCGCTCCAATTAATTGATAAGAAAAGCATCAGTCACGATACGAAGAGATTTAGATTTCAACTGCCATCGAATAACCACATTTTAGGTGATTCAAAAATTTCTCTTTTTTCAGTGTTTTCAGATATTTAAAAATAAAACAAATGACGTACAAGGTGAAAAGGTTAGGTATATCAACCTAAAGTACTAAGAATCGCAGTAGACAAAAAAATTATCAAGTTATAAAAATGGTTTTAAGTGCTGCTTTTCTGGGTTGGATTTGTGGAAAGTTTTTACCATAAACTAAGAAATTTCCTTGATGTGAAAATAGTCTTATGTGGCTATGCATTTGCACATTCAAAAGGATGTGCCGGTTGTCTCTGGTCTCTCTTGACAGTTAGTATGTTTCTGTCTCAGCTTTGCCCATCTTCTTTTTGTTGTAGTTAACAGCTCTTAGCCTGCATCATACCTGATGGTTTTGCTAGTTTAAGTAGGGTTATGCCAGGTTAGCTAGAGTTAGGTTAGGTTAGATTACAGAGGCTTATAATCTCTCTAAAAATCTTGCCTTCTCTGAGAGAACATTTCCCCTGACTTCTTTTTATGAGAAATTTATTAATCTCTTAGCTTGCCACATACGTTGGTTTTGTCCAGTTTAGGCAGGATTAGATTAGCTTACAGAGGCTCCTAAAAATCTTGCCTTCTGAGAGAAAAAAAATTTCTTCCAACTTCTTTTTTTGAGAGATATATTAATCTCTTAACATGCCACATACATTTGTCCAGTTTAGGTTAGGGTTAGATTAGAACTAGGTAAGGGGCAAGGTAGAGTTAGGGACAGGTTATATCGACTGCAATGCATTTATTTTTTCCCCTTTCAGGTTTACCAGTTGGGCAACATATATTTCTCACTGCACAAATCGATGGAGAACCAGTGATTCGGTCATATACCCCTGTCAGTTCTGATGATGATTTAGGATACATGGATCTTGTAGTTAAGGTAAGGTTGCTTACCACTTTGAAAGTATGCTGACATATCACACTATGATTTTTTACTATATTTTTTCAAATTTTATTTTAATTCGGCATCTGTGCTTCATTGAACTTCAGAGCACTGGAAAGGCTAAAAAAAAACCTAAATTGGCTGAGGAGCTTCATATCTTTTCCAGTTTCCAACCAAATGTGATGTACAACATGTAAAAAAATTACGAAGTTCAATGAAACATGAATACCCAATAAAATTTGAAGAAAATGATTAATTTATGGTATCCATGTAGGTTTATATGAAGAATGTTCACCCAAAATTTCCAGCTGGTGGGAAAATGAGCCAGTATTTAGATAGTCTTAACATCGGTGACACCGTGGACATACGTGGCCCATCTGGAAGATTGAAATATTTAGGAAATGGTAATTTTTCGATGAAAGTTCTCCGAAAAGATCCCGCTTATACAGTCACAGTGAACAAAATTGCTATGATAGCAGGTAATTATAAGTTTTCCCTATTCTTGTTTAATTGTATTTAATTTGTAACTTCTTGTGATATTTGACTCTTGTTAAACATTTATAATTAAACTAATTAATGGATGATAGGGTAGTCAATATTCCACCGTCGGGCACTCTCACACTACACATTCACACCAATAAATACTTCCCTTTCTATATACAACCCTCCAAAAATTGGAACAGGGGATCTAAAGACTCGCTGCTTCTTATATCAGGGGGATCTACATGCTCTCTATAAGCAACCAAGGAATGACATCTTTCAATAAAGTGGGACATCTCAAGTTACATGCTACACACAAGCAGGTTTCGGCCCAAAAGGTGTCTGTGTGTATAGCTTGTTAATCAAATGAGATCTCTCTTCTGCTATTCAGATTGTCAGAGGGCCACCCATTGACTGAGCTCTTAGATACGTAGGAGTTCAGGTCTGGAAGTTGGGACATCTTTTCATTACCCAGACAACTACCACCATTTGCCGAGACACTTCATTTCAGAGAATTTTATCAAGAGCATGAAGAGAGAGTCCACAGAAGTCCTGTCTTAGCCAGCAGACGATGTAAAAACCAATGTATCTCGATCGAATTGTAAGTTCCAAGAACTTAGCTCGGTAAAGGTATGGAGTTGTAAGACATCATTGTTCAAGATGAGTAACCTAACCTAACTCTAACCTGCCCCTAATTATAACGTAAACTTCCCCTGAGCTCACCTAATCTAATCTGTCCCTAACTTTAACCTAACCTTTCTATATCCTTTTTGTAAACCTACTAATATAGCCTGTCTGTAACACTAATTGTAACTTCTCCTAACTCTACCTAATCTAATATAGCTTTTACCTAGCCATAACCCTAACCTAATCTTACCTAACTCAACCCATGTGCACTCCCCAGTCCTGTAAAATAAATGGTTTGCAAAAGAAATAAAATCATTGTGAATCCATCCCAAAAATATTGAGCCTAATAAGGAGAGGCCACTGAACCTCTCACCAACAGATGTAAAAACCAGTGTACCAGTGTACCTAAAGTTCCAAGAACTTAGTTGGGTAAAGGTATGGAGTTGCAGACTTGGTTAACACGGTGTGATCCAGGACGAGTAAAGCAGGAAGGACCCAGGGTGTAGTTGGTCTGTTATCTGTTATATTTTACTATTCAGACCTTCCATGGGCCATCAACTGTGCTCTTGGTATGTAGGATCTTTTCTGTTGAAATGGCCCACCAATGCTGCCATTTCCTTTTAATTGTATTTTTACTGCAATTTTAGTATTAGAGTCATATTGCAGTTGTCCAGTTTCTGTATAGTTGTTCTCTGTCACCTTTCTTCTTTTCACGTGTCCTTTTTGCTTAATTTACTTGTACAAAACATATAATTGTTTGTTGTTCTTTTAAAATATTCCAGGTGGAACTGGTATAACACCTATGCTGCAGATAATTAGGCACATTATTAAGACATCAGATCCAACGCAGATGTCATTGCTATTCGCTAATCAAACTGAAAAAGACATCCTTTTGAGAGATGAACTGGAAGACATAGCTAGGAATCATTCTTCAAGGTTTCAAGTCTGGTACACGCTGGACGTACCTCCTCCAGGTATAATCTTAAATTTTGTCTTATTGTTTAAAAAATAAAAATAAATAATTGGATTCGTGTTGTAATTGTAGATTGGAAATACAGCACCGGTTTTATAACAGCTGATATGATCGAAAAGCACTTGTTCCCACCATCTCCAGACACGCTCGTTGTGATCTGCGGCCCGCCTCTTATGGTTAACATCGCCTGCATACCTAACCTAGAGAAGTTAGGATACGATTCTAAATTGCGTTTTGCATATTAATATTTCTACTAGTAATAAATAGCACACATTTAGATGATTAAAATCAACTAATTTGTTCATTCATTAAAAAAATGCAAGCTATAGACTTGAATTGAATTTTTTTTAAAATTAAATGAAATACATAGTTCACTATTTTAATGTTTTTTATATTATTGTATTATATATTCTATTGTTTGAAATAGCAAAACATTGTCCTAAAAAACACTTTAATTTTAGATATTAAAAATTAGAGGACAAAAGTGTTGTATAGAAAAAAAAAGAAATATTTTTAGAGACAAGTTTAAGTATAAATTTTTTGTTTATGCTTCTAGCATATACACTGTACATACGAGGATGAGAGGTCGAGGCTATATCAAGGAATACGCATTTAGCTAAAATTGGCTCAATCATGTTATTTGACATATAATATGAACAAAAGGTGCTTTAGCTTTTCACGATGAAAACGCCTACTGCTAGTAGGACCCAAATGTTTCTATATATTTTTTTGAAAAAAAAAAAAAACAGTTTCATTTGGATAACCAAAAAAAAAATGTATCTTAAGAACAAAAGTGAGCTTTACGATAAAACTTTTTAGTATATGCTATTAATAATTGTACTATAACTGTTACTATTAAGTTTTACGAAATGTCAGAATTGTAATAAATTATTTGTGCTTAAATTAGAAGAAGAGTTTTTCTACTTTTACCTGGTGCAGTATCCTTATCCTGATATCAGGTTAATTTAGGGCGTTTCAAAAGGAAAAAAACCTTAATATATGGCCTTTTATTTATTTAACATATATTGTACACTAGTATAACTGTTGACAATCGTTTGAAACGAATCCTGTTGTGGGTTTATGAGATTACATATCTAATGCCTGAAACACAACACACAAATTAATACGTGAAACATTCTAATGCCAAGTTTGTAAATTTCGATGGATGTCACAGACTATGAATAGCCTGTAGCTATAGATATAGGTAAGGTGTCTGCTATGCAACCTCAGCCTAACAGATATTGTGACCATCTAGGGATCTTAAAATGCGAGAGAAGAAAATAACTTGTTGCGAGGCATGGGGAGCCTCCAAGTCTGAACGAAAATCATTACGTGCCCCAAAAAGGTTAAGTAATGCACTGAGTTTGACAAACTTATTTTTATTGATTCATTACCTTAAGAAGTTCTGTACAATTTATATGTTACTGTTCCTTCAAAATCTCCTCTGGATTTTTTACGTTATCTCAGGAACTCCTGTATATATTTTTTTATTGAATCCTGTTACTTGAATAGGAACTCTCCATTTTTTATTATTGGATTCCGTTACCTCGAGTGGTACTCTTGATTTTTTTTCTTTTGTTGTATCCAGTTACATCAGGAGCTCTTGTATATATATATTTTTTATGTAATCCTGTTACTTCAAGAGGTACTCTTGATTTTTTCTTTTATTGGATGCTGTTACTTCAAGAGCTCTACAAGATTGTTTTATTGGAACCTATTACCTGAAGGGGTACTCTTGATTTTTTATTATTGGATCCTGTTACCTCTGAAACTCCTCTGTAATATTTTTTTTATTGAATCTTGGTACCTTAAAAAATTCTTTATAATGTTTTCACAATGTTCCTGTTCCTTGAAGAGCTCCTATAGATTTTTTAAAAAATTGGATTGTTACCTGAAGGGCTTCTCCAATAGAGAATAAATTTAATCTCGAGTTAAAAACTATATTTGTGACATACCAATCGAAATTTAACAAATGTCTCTGATATAAAAATACATACCAGCTGCGGCAATACTTTGTCCAGGATATCACATGTGATTTCGGTTTCGCCTTCTGAAAACGTTTGATTCGCTGCCCTTAATATCACCTCCATGATCGCAGCGTTAACAGCAATGCTGAGATACTGTGTAGGCTCATTGGACAACATGGTTTTAGGATGTTTAAAATGCCTATTCATAATTTCCCGTATTGTTTTCTAAAATAAATAAAAAGAAAAATATAGTATAGTTGATAACCGAAATGTAGTAACTGAAAGAGTAAGAATGATTTAAAAAAGTAATTTCTGCAATATATGGCTTAACGTCCAACTGCACTAGTTGGAAATTAATATCTGTATTGCATGTTCATTGAAGCTAACCTGACAAAAAACGTGTTATATTTCTGTTTCTTCCTGCTTGCAATGTTGGTATTTCTTTCTTCAGAAGAAAATTCCTTCGGTTTTATTCAACCCGGTCATTTTGCATTAGTTGAACTAATTCATATGCAAATCCAATGTTATGTCCTTAATTTTATTCTGAACTAATGATAGACTGCTCAGTTGTGTAGACTTCCACTTGAAAGATTCAACTGTAAATCTCCATGGGTGTGATTTTGTGCCAATTATTCCTGTACTTTTATGCTCTCTAGGTCTGTAGGCGCCTTAAATTTTTTTTAGGCAGGTTCAGAAGTTTTGTTTCAACGTCAAATCACTTCAGGGGCCATTGATAGTGTATAAACCCATGCTAGGGTTGTTCTAAACATATGGATACGGGGAGCTTACATTTCTTTTGGTGAGTGATGTAGCTCTGAAATCCGTTAGTAAATCTGTCTGGTTTCATCAGCTTCATTGCAGCGTCTTCATTTTCTATCTTCATTGAGACCGACATGTTAGGAAAAGTATTATGTTCTGGGTGTCTTTTGCTCACTTTTTCTTCCCACCATTTATCATTTCTGTTCTTATCTCTGTTTTTTGGCTTTTCTGATTTGGTTATTTCATATTGTTCAGCCCAGGAGGGAAGGTGGCTGTTTTGTATTGTTCACTTAATTGTGTACACTTCCACTTGAAAGATTCTATTGTATTTCTACATTATATACATACTATTCTATGTATATCTCCATGTGTCTGATTTTCTGGTCACAATTCTTTTGTAAATTTTTGTAATCCTGTATATTTCTGAACCCACTTTTGGACCATTGGTGCTGGATATTGTCAGGTTAGGGTCGTTATAACCATACGCAGCCTACATTTTTCCCTGAGGAGTGGTGTAGCTTTAAAATCTGTTAGTAAATATGTCTGGTTTTGGTAGCTTCATTGCGAGTCTTCAGATTCTATGCTCATTGAAACCAATGTGTTAAGAAAAGTGTTATGTTTCTGGGTTACTTCTTCCTCACTTTTTCTTCTCACAATTTATCTTATCTTCTGTGCTTATGCTGTATTTTTTGGCCTTTCTGAATCATTTATTTCTTTAAAATTGTGTAAACTTCTACTTGAAAGATTGTATCGTACATCTCCATCCCTCTGACTTTCTGGCCACAATTCCTGTACATTATTGTAATCCTGTGTAACTCACTTTTGGACCATTGGTGCTGGATATTGTCATGTTAGGGTCGTTATAACCATATGCAGCCTACGTTTCTTCTGATGAGTGGTACAGCTCTAAAATCTGTTAGTAAATCTGTCGGGTGTTTCTTCCGCTTCTTTGTAAAATCTTGAGATTCCACATGTCACGGAAAGTGTTATATTTTTGGTTTCATCCTGCTTTTTTCTTCTTCAACCAGAACTCTTGAATTGCCAATGTTGTATAACAAGATTTGCCTTCGATTATTGCATTGTACCATAAATGGTTCTGGAAAGGACTGTCTTTAGTATCCTTTCCATGTATCTACTTGCTAATTTGCCTTGGTTCCTTCAGTTTTTTGCCACCTGGCCGCTCTTTTGTATTGTTTGAGCTGATATATTTTCAACTTCTATGCTACATCCTTAATTTAATTCTCCTGAGCTTCAACCACCACTGTGTACAAATTATGGAAAAGTTTCCTCTGATTAGTGGTGTAACTTCTGAAATCTGTTAGTAAATCTGTCAGTATTTCCTCAGCTTCTTTGCATTGTCTACAGATTTTGTCTACATCAGTTCTTTTGATTCATTTAACCCACGAGGGAAGGTAGCTATTTGCGTTGTTCGAGCCGATATATAAGCCAATTGTGGTTAATTTGAGTGTTCAATTGTGCTAACTTCTACTAGAAAGATTTTCTTGTACATCTCCATGCGTCTGATTTTCTGGCCTGTAAGGTTTCGAACTCTTATAGGATACCATGGGTGCTGGACATTGTCACATTTGAACCATGTGGACAGGTCAGCCTACATTTCCTCTAGCGAGTGATGTAACTCTGAAATTTGTTAGTAAGTCTGTCGGCGTTTCCTCAGCTTCTTTCCATTGTCTACAGACTTTGCCTGCCTTGGTTCTTTTGATTCATTTAACCCAAGAGGGATGGTAGCTGTTTGTGTTGTTTGAGCCGACTTATGAGCATATTCTGGTTAATATGAGTGTTCAATTGTGCAAACTTCTACTAGAAAGATGCTCTTGTACATCTCCCTGGGTCTGATTTTCTGGCCTGTAAAGCTTTGAACTCTTATAAGCGGCTGGGGGGGGGGTGCTGTACATTGTCACATTCTAACCATGTGGACAGGCCAGCCTACATTTCCTCTGGCGAGTGGTGTAACTCTGAAATCTGTTAGTAAATATGTTAGGGTTTCTTTATCTTATGTACAGATTCCATGTTCCGAAAGCCAACACATCAGGGCAGTGTTATATTTAGTGGTTTTTCATCCAGCACAAATTCAACCAGAATTTTTGAATCGCCAGTATTGTAAAGATCTCCACACATATTTTTATTTTCTAGAGTGTCTCACTGCCTTTTTTTAGCCAGGTCCAGATACTTCATTTCAAACTCAAAATGGGGGCAATGGGAACAGAGTTTTGTCACAGTAGGGTTGGTGTAACTGAAATCTGTTAGTAAATTTATTGTGGATTCTTCTGCTTTTCTGAAGTTTTCAAATTCCTAGTGCATTCTCTTCCTGCTTGTAATGCTGGCATTTCTTTCTTTTGGTGTCCAGCGAGAGATTAGTCTTCGATTGTTACATTTCATCTCATCATCTATCTTCATGATGTTTGTTAGGGTGTTGTACAATCCTGCAAAAGGGTTCGAAACTGTCTGCTGCAGATCTTATGTTGTATTGGACCCAAAATGGAAAAGGTGGTCGTCTGCATTGTTTGAACTGTTATATGAGCAAATTCTGGTTGATTTGAGCACTCAATTACATGTGTAAACTTCTGCTTGAAAGATTTTCTCGTACAACTCCATGGGACTGATTTTCTGGCCACTATTCCAGTACATTTTTGTAATCTTGTAAGGTTTTGAACTATCTTGGGGGCAATGCAGAAAGGTTTTGGTCACATAAGGGTTGGTCTAACCATATGTACATGGTCGGCCTATGGTCTGATGAACGATGTAACTTTGAAATCTGTCGAGGTTTCTTCTGCCTCCTTGAACACTACAGATTCCAAGTCCGAAATGTCAACATGCCAGAAAGTGTTACATTTGTGTTGCTTATTATTTTGTTTCACTATCCTTATATTTATATTATCATCTGTTCTGATACTGTTTGTTAGTGTGATTTTTGGCCAGCCTTCCTAGGTTCTTTTTGTAATCCTGTAAGTTTTTGAACTCTCTGGGGGCTGTTGGTGCTGGATATTGTCAAGTTAGATTTATTCTGCTCACATGCAGCCTATGTTTCGTCTGATGAGTGGTGTAACTCTGAACTCTGTTAGTAAATCTGTCGGCGTTTCTTCCACTTCTTTGCAGAATCTTGAGATTCCATGTCCTTTGATGTCACCTGTCAAGGAAAGTGTTATATTTCTTTGTTTTATC